GTTTCTGGTCTGTGATGTGTGATAAGAACAGAGGGAATTACAGTTGAGAAACTACGCATGCCAAATTTCCCAAACTTCACCTATATTTGGTTAAATCTCTGTTCCTGAAATTTTGTTGGTCTTGGTAGAGACTGTAGTGTGGCTAAACCTATAACTGACTTAACGCTCTCTATTAGTGATAAAAATTGCCTAAGGTATTCAAGATTGAAAATCACTTGCCATTGTATGAACTGATTTGGCTATGTGTATCTTGATCTAGCAGATAATTTCAGGTGCCACTTTGTGTCGGGGTGTCTTCCTCAATCACTGGCCACTCTTCAGAAATGTATCATGAAAGGAATATTTTGCAAGTTAAGCTCACTGTCTGTTAATGAAATGATCTGCTATTTTCTGTGGGCTTTTTTTTTTTTTTTAATGTTTGGAACTTGCACTTAAAATAATGGTTGGGGGGACAAAATATGTTCATAGCTCTGCTTTAATTGCAAAAGCCTCTTAAACTTGAGTCATAAGCTTTTGAAAAATAACTTTTTACACATCTTTTGTATGAATTTGATTAGTGTGTCAGCTATATTTTGGTATCTGGTGAGCCTAGATTGAGACTCAGTTTGTCCTGAATAACTGCTGTTCATTCTTACCACTGTTCTTCGGTTGCTGGAATTGAGAGCAACAAAGAGGCCTTGAAATGTGTTGTCAGTTCTTCAGATGGTCCACAAACAAGTTTGAGGAAGAAGCAGCAGACCAATTTACATGTGAAGTTTTGAGAAGTGAAAGATTAGAAGGAGTGAGGAGGGGATGAGGGGATACTAGTGGGGAATGCCCAGTGTCCATTAGAAAATTTTAATGAATCAACATTTTCTTGTCTTGGTGGCTTGTCAGCAGAAGATAAAAGCAAGCTACTACGTGATAATCTGCTAATCCAAAATGCAGAATAGAGGTCTGCATTGTGGATCTAAGGTATCTGGTTCTGGCAGTGACAAGTGGGTATTGAATTTAGAGGACAGTCATGGTTTGACCAGATATTTCTGAATTTTCCTTTTGTGTTTTTTTATTCAACTTTATATCCTCTTACTGTGTCTTGTTAGAAAGAAGATAAGTGTGCTCTGAAGTCACGTATGTAAAAGCTAGAAGAGGTCAAAATTATTTGTATAGACCTACATCAGGTTCTTATAATTGAAATGAAAATGGAACATATTTTCTATTTCTGAATAGAAATATCTCTTTAATAAGTATGAATCTTTTTTCCTTATATACATATACGTATACTAACTTCAAATGTTTTGCTTTTGAATTTATCAAATTTGACAGTGTGAACAGTATGTTCTTGTCAGAAAGAATGTATTAGCAGAAAGACTTTACCTCCATTTTAGTTTTAATTTATTTCTATACAGTATTCAGCTTCTAAGACAGATCTCGGGTATACTTTTGATTTGACTTTCATTAGCTAAATAGTATAAAGAGTGAACTGCACATTCTAGAAATCAGAGCCTGGGGGGAAAAAACAGTGTATGAAGATAAATAGGAGCTATTTAGATCAGTAAACGGTGTATCTACAAATACACACTTACCCAAACATGAGCTGAAGATTTCAAGACTACTGCTTTTGTTTCCTAACCCACCGTAGTTCTGTTAGAGACTAGAAATACAACAGCAAAGCGCACTGTAAATCGCTGCCTTGCTGGCATTAAAACATAGCCTACCAAAAATGCAAATAAGGAAGTTTCAGGAAACTTCTCTCTTCTAACTTTTAAAAGCCAAATCTGATTACTATGAATGGGCACAGAACCCTTGGAAAAGAAGGTCTCATTTATGAATGTGGAAATTTGCTGACAGTGAACAGAAACTGATAATCTGATGGGCAGTTAACTGGAATTTGCAGGGCTAATGATGTAAGAAATCTGAAGGGGGGGAATTCTTACATGAGTTTTCTGTTAATAGTTTACATATTAATTCAGTGAGAGACTGAAAAGTTACTGTGCCTGAATCTGTAGTATGCATAATATATTATAAAGATAGATTTAAATTGTATCATTTTAAAAGTGGTCGACCACATAAGAGACTTTGTTATGTTGGGAGGGAACCAGGAGACTTTGTCTTAATCTTTTTCCTTCTCCTTCAGTGAAGTGCTCATATTTAAAGTTAAGCAAAATTTTCATCTAGTTGAAGCCTAATAGTTAAACATTGAACTGTGGTGTCCAGTGCTTGCTTTCTAATTTACTGTGAATAGGGTTTTCAAACAGGTGGCACTAGTGCTTACTAGAAATTTCCCCACATGGTGTTAGAACCCTAGAGTGCTTTTAAATGAAAGACTCTGCAATGTCATGCTGATGAGAAATAATCTGCATGTAAATAAGAACCTTAAAAGATAGATGGCTGCGTGCTGTGTGTTGAAGGCATTTTTTTCTTCCTGGTTTTGGGAATCCTGAGCAGAGGGATTAATGTGGGACTTCAGGACAAAGACCTAAGAAAACATTAAGAATAGTTTGTCATGTGCTCAACAAAATATCCAGCTCCCTCAGAATATATCGGCAGTCTCAAAGGCCCCAGCTGAGATGAAGAGCCTGTTGTGATGGATTGTATTTTCTATTGTGTACAATTATTGCCTTCAAACATGTAAATCAAAAGGGTTGGCAGACAGAGAGAGGAAGAGCTATAGTGTAGAGGCAAACAAAGCCAATGTTGAGTTAGCCAGGCTTTAATTTTCATACAGATCTCATTATTTTTTAATCATTGCTGGAGATAGAGGGGAAGGGAAATTTGACAAGGGAAGAAGGGAAAAGTGTAACAACATGGAGATAGCAAGCTTAAGCTTCCGTTTCATACATGAAAGCAGATACAAAATCCCTTCTAGAATAGAATAGACTATTTCAGCTGGAAGGGACCTACAACGATCATCTAGTCCAACTGCCTGACCCCTTCAGGGCTGACCAAAAGTTAAATCCAATTATTAAGGGCATTGACCAGATGCCTCTTAAACACTGACAGGCTTGGGACATGGACCACCTCTCTAGGAAGCCTGTTGCAGTGTTTGACCACCCTCTCAGTAAAGAAATGCTTCCTAATGTCAAGTTTGAACCTCTCCCGATGCAGCTTTGAGCCATTCCCACATGTCCTGTTACTGGACACCAGGGGGAAGAGATCAGCACCTCCCTCTCCACTTCCCTCCTCAGGAAGCTGTAGAGAGCAATGAGGTCACCCCTCTGGACGCATTCAAGTACCTTCACATCCTTCTTAAATTGTGGGGCCCAGAACTGCCCACAGTACTCAAGGTGAGGCCGCACCAGTGCTGAATACAGTGGGATAATCACCTCTTTTGACCGGCTGGCTATGCTGGGTTTGATGCACCCCAGGATGCGGTTTGCCCTCTTGGCTGGTTACTCCACCCCAGGTGCAGAATTCAGAATTTGTTCTTGTTAAATTTCATGCCATTGATGATTGCCCAATGCTCCAACCTAGATCTGTCTGCAAGGCCTCCTGTCCCATGTTGACTCAAGAGAGTCAACAGGACCTCCCTGTTCAATGTCATCAGCAAACTTGCCAATGGCGCATTCAACTCCTGCAATCCAGATCATTGATAAATATATTGAACAGAATTCGTCCTAGAATTGAGCCCTGAGGAACACTGCTGGTGACTGGTCACCAGCCACATGTAGCCCCATTCACTACAACCCTTTGAACTCTGCCCTTCAGCCGTGAACCTGCTCATCCCACAGTTGGACAACTTGTCCAGAAGGATGCTGTGAGGGGCAGTATCAAAGCCTTACTAAAATCCAGAAAAACTACATCCACCGCCTTCCCTTCGTCCACTAGGCGGGTGACCTTATCCTAGAATGATATCAAATTAGTTAAACAGGACTTCCCCTTTGTGAACCCATGTTGACTGTGCCTGATGATTGTGTTGTTCTTTAAATGCCTTTCAATAGTATCCAGTATGATCTTCTCCACAATTTTTCCAGGAACTGAGGTTAGACTAACAGGTCTGTAGTTTTCCTGGGTCATCCCTCTTGCCCCACTTGTAAATTGGAATAACTTGGGCTAGCTTCCAGTCAGCAGGGACCTCCCCAGACTCCCAAGACCTTTGGTAGGTGATCGAAAAAGGTCTTGCCATAACATCTGCTAGCACCTTCAGTGCCCTGGGATGAATCCCATCAGGCCCCACGGACTTGTGAACATTCAGCTGATACAACTGGTTCCTGACAATTTCAGTGTCCACAAATGGAAAGTCACTGTTCCCACACTTGTGGTCCTCCGACTCATGGGATTGGGCAGCGCAAGGTCTATCCGTATTACTAAAGACTGAGGCAAAAAAAGCATTGAATGCCTCCGCTTTTTCTTCATCCCTGGTAGTCAGGTGACCATCTTCAACAAGTATTGGCCCAATGTTTTCTTTAGACCTCCCCTTGCTATTAAAGTACTTAAAAAAGCCTTTCTTGTTGTCAGACACAACACTGGCCAATTTCAACTCTAATTGAGCTTTGGCCTTTTGTATCTTCTCCCTGCATATACGAACCACAGCTCTGTAATCTTCCTGTGAAGCCTGACCCTGCTTCCAGACACCGTACAACTTCCTCTTCCTCTTGAACTCCATGAGGAGTTAGTTCCCTGTTCAGCCAAGCTGGTCTTCTGCCCAGCTTGCTTGACTTTTGACACAATGGAATTGCCTGTTCCTGTGCTTTTATGTAGTAGAGAATTCCATTTTAATTCTGTTTTTTTGAATAATGAGACAAAAAAGGTCCTTAAAACCTGTAACTCTTTCAGGAAATAATATCAAGCATTTTGATTTGTATAACTGCCTGGCAGCCTTGTTATTTAATCAGATCTTGAATATTTTGACTTGTCATCTAAGCCTTTCATAGTCCATAGATACCAAAACAGCTATTTTTTTGACTACTAATGTTTGAGTTTTTGAAACTATTTTTTGACTAATTTTTTAACTATTAGTGTGGCAGAATTTGGACTATAATTTGATTATGACTTGTGTAATTGTCTTTCTTCTCTTGCAGGAAACACTGCGTTACATGACTGTGCGGAATCTGGAAGTTTGGAGATCATGAAGATGCTTCTCAAGTATTGTGCTAAAATGGAAAAGGACGGTTATGGAATGACTCCCCTTCTGTCGGCTAGTGTGACAGGCCACACAAATATCGTGGACTTTCTGACCCAGCATGTACAGACCAGTAAGGCTGAGCGCATAAATGCTCTGGAACTTCTAGGAGCAACATTTGTGGACAAAAAGAGAGATCTGCTTGGTGCTTTGAAATACTGGAAGCGAGCTATGGAAATGAGATACAGTGATAGGACTAATATCCTGAGCAAGCCTGTGCCACAAACACTAATTATGGCGTATGATTATGCTAAAGAGGTAAACAGCTCAGAAGAGCTAGAAAATCTTATTGCAGACCCTGACGAAATGAGAATGCAAGCACTATTAATTAGAGAACGTATTCTCGGCCCTTCTCACCCAGATACATCCTACTATATCAGATACAGAGGTGCTGTCTATGCAGACTCTGGAAACTTCAAGCGTTGCATCAACTTATGGAAATATGCTTTGGACATGCAGCAGAGCAATCTTGATCCGCTGAGCCCTATGACAGCCAGCAGTTTACTATCATTTGCTGAACTTTTCTCCTTCATGCTGCAGGATAGGGCAAAAGGCCTGCTAGGCACTACTGTCACATTTGATGATCTCATGGGTATACTGTGCAAAAGCGTTCTTGAAATAGAAAGGGCCATGAAACAAACCCAGTGTCCTCCTGATCCAATACAGCTGAACAAAGCCCTTTCCATCATTTTGCATTTAATTTGCTTGTTGGAGAAAGTACCTTGCAGCTCAGAACAGGAGCATTTTAAGAAACAGACTATTTACAAGTTTCTTAAGCTTCAGCCTAGAGGGAAGAATAACTTCAGTCCACTTCACCTTGCTGTTGACAATAATACTACATGTGTGGGTCGCTACCCAGTTTGTAAATTCCCCTCTCTACAAGTTACTGCTATCCTGGTGGAATGTGGTGCTGATGTAAATGTCAGAGACTCTGATAACAACAGTCCATTACATATTGCTGCACTGAACAACCATCCAGACATCATGAATCTTCTTATCAAGTCAGGTTCACACTTTGACGCCACAAACTCGCATAAACAAACTGCTAGTGATTTGCTGGATGAGAAGGAAATAGCAAAAAATTTAATCCAACCCATAAATCATACTACATTGCAGTGTCTTGCTGCTCGTGTAATAGTGAATCATAACATATACTACGCAGGGCACATCCCTGAAAAACTAGAGAACTTTGTTTTGCTCCATAGATGATAGTGTGGAGTCCCAGAGTACTGTTTTTGAAGCACGACTTGGTGACGATATTTTCCTTGAGCACTGTTGTGATACACCAGCGATCCCTTAGCTTGCTCCATCTTGCTCTCAGTGGCTAAAGCATTGTTAGTATCAGATCTGCAGAGTTGGTTACCCAGTATTTAATATAAATATGCCATATAATATATTTTGTGGATTATTTAGAAATGTAATGCCATATTTAGACTCTTAAAATTGTCTGCCAAAGGCTTGTCTATTCTGGTCTTATTTGCCTGTTGGGTGTTTGGGACTGAGTTGAGTATTTTCCACTGATGTCTTTTTACTATAACTGTTAAGTGGATTTTATACAGTTGGAAGGTCATCTTTTTTTGGTTTTGCTTGAGCATTTCTACTCTTACTCTATTCTTTTTCTATGGACTCATTGCTAAACTGTATGAGTTGTATGGACTTGTTAACATTTGCAACTACCATAAGTGCTTTTATCTTCTCTATGCACTGGCTTAAACATGACTGTTGTGTGTGAGCATATTTCTATGCAGCACTTGGCCAATTTCAACTTAAATGCCAATTTTGTGTTGCAGTTTGTTTGGAGCTCTTTTGAGAATGCTGTCTTCATAGCATGATGAATTTTGGAGTTACTTATCAGCTCTCCAAACTTGGGTTTGACTTTTTTGACTGCTGTAACTGAGGTTGCTTTCCTTTTGATCCTCTGGAAATTTGTCCTAAACTTGGGAGAAGAAAATCTTGCTTTTTCTCATCGTAGTCCACTTGAACTTTAAATCTGAAAATCGTTTTGTTGCATTGTGCAGTTAGGGGAAGAGTCCTTATTATGTACAACTGACACCTTCCCCTTTGCACTAACGTCTTGCTTGTGCTGGTTGTGTGACTAGATGTGAAGTTTGCTCAAAGTTTAACCTCAAACTTAATGATACACTTTAATGAGAAATAGATCAAATGTATGCTGTAGTTTAAAATCTACAAATCAACTTTAGCTACAAAAGAAACTAAAGCATGTTGGTGGCATGATGCTTATCAGTCCAGATCTAGACGTCATCTAATATAGTAAATATCTGTATGCCAGGGTATTGGAAGTTCTATAGCAGTGTCCTTTTTTCTTCATTTTAAGTATCTTTATAAATACTTGCATGGATTTTTCATCTCTACAATGTCAGCTGTACTTAACAAAAAGCGGAAGTTCTGTTGTGTATATAGCTCCTAATTAAAGTACCTATTTTTATAATATTTGCACAACAGCTTAGCTTTTACAACAGAAAGGGCTCTTTTGACTTGATAAGAAATCTATAAATGAAGATCATAAATGTGAGTGCGATTCAGGTAATTAATATAATTCAGCACTTTACTGTTATTAATAGTAGAATTTATTATGGCACATTAGCCCTGCAAATGTCTTAAAGTGAAATTCATTTCTGTTGGATAGAATACAGTTTACTTGCAAGTTTAGTGGTCTAGCGTATTGGATATTTTTGACTTGATATTTCATTTCAGTGGTGGGCAGTAAGTGTACCTATGGAGTTCTTGCTCCAGAAATTCAACAAGTTGATTTAGGCCTTTGTCAGTGATAGAGATATTTAGAAGCCAAATTAATTAGATAAAGGTAAAGTTGTTTTAGGAGGGTCTTTTTTAATACTTAATTTTTTTTTTTTTTTTAAGTTGATGTCAGAACATTTTTGTCATTTGTGAATTAAGTTGAGGAAGAATGTGTCTTGGGAGCATATAAGAACAGTTCTTCCTTGCTTTTGGGCTGTTTTGGTGTTCCTGTTAGTGTACAGCGTGGTGCCTACTAGCTTAGCCATTCTTCGGAAAAATATGGGGATGTTTTTAAACAAAGGTATGTTGAAAGCAGTGCTGTTTGTGTATTGCCACTTTCAGACTCTGTATTTTGAAGCAACTTTCACCTGTTTGTCCCATGCCATGTCTACATTGTATGAAATGATGAGACTGAGGAAACCCTGTTAGTTTCTCTTGCAAATACACAGGAGTAAAATTCTATTCGATTGGCTGAATTTCTCTGATTTGTAATGATTAAAACACGTGCCACTCAAGTTGTCATTTGTGAGAACATGTAGTTTGATTTTTTTAAAAAATTATTTGGTTTTTTTTATGCTCTTCTACTACTCTTTAAGTAGGGATAACCAACAAATCACACCATGCTGGAAATGATCCACATTATATTTCAAGTCATAAAAATAATTCTTTTTCTATAGGTCACAGCAAAAGGGATTTTTTGAGTTTTATACTCTGGAATCTGTACTGCTCTTTAGTGGGTTTAGTTTAAATTTCTGTCTTTATAACTGTTGAATATCCTGTTTAAAATTAGTTGGACATTATTAGTCCAGAAATATAATTGGAAATACAACAATTGTTAATTGCTAGCAAATTTTTGAATGGAAAACATTCCCAAAAGAGAAAGCATATCACTATTAACTAAATGTAAATCTAGTGAAAATTGTTACAAGGAAGGCTTATTCTGTTAGTTACTCTTTAAAAACAAACCAATTTAATAAGGATGTACTGATTTATTGTATGTAGTGCTGTCTAAATACCTACCAATGTGCATCAGTCCTAAAGTCCTAAAGACTGTCACCTGGAATTGTAATTTTTCATGGTGATGAGGTTATCTGCCGAACTCTTACCTTGCCAGATACTTGGACTTACATGTCCAGGCAGATGAGTTCATGCATTTAATACCACTTTCCATTTAGCCCTGTATGTTTACATTACCCTGTTTAATTTTTCTTAATTTTAGAACAGATTGGTACAGAGCCTATGCTGCGTAATGAGTTAGGTCTTAGTTCAGGATTTGCTGATTGGGAGGGAGGGTTGGGACAGCAGGCCCTGTCTGAGATGCATGTGCCACTAAGGTGTGTGCTAATGAGTAGTAGCAGTTTTGCCCCCTCGGCCCCTGATTCACACCAGTTTTGTCTCCACTTCTGTATAGATACCAACTTTCCAGATTTTTTTTTTTTTTTTTAATTCTTGCTCTTGTTACTATTCAGAGGTGGTAATAATATCATTTTAGTGAAACACGTTGATGCTAAATGCAGTAGTGTTGCTAGCTGGACTCAAACTGTGGTAATGCAAGGAACTAAAGAGCATTCAGAACATAAAGAATTGTTTTATTTTTGTCATATTTTTCACTCATTCTTTTCCTGTTCTTCTCTTTTCTTTCTATTTGGGCTTTTTTTTTCTGATGAAATGTATTGCTCCTGAGCTACCGATGCAGAAAAATGTTGAGAACACTGTGGACAAAATTGTATGCCCTGCAGGGGTGATTAAAATTGATTAAATTATTTACAGGTATGGCTCCCTAGAGAAAAGACACTGATACCTCCTTGCTTGTTGACACCTCTGAAATTGTATTTTTGGGGGTAGGGGATAAATGCTCAAAGCATTTTTTCTTCTGATAATCTTGGGTTTCAAGTGAAAACTGAAATACTTCAACCAGGAAGATGAAGAGTATTCTCATTTAAAAAAAAAAAGAAATTTTTTTCTTACCAAATTCTAAAATTGTATTCCTATTTTTGTATCACGCTGGTAACAAGATTCCAGCTGTCTGTGGTGTCTGTTCTGTTTGTTAAGTGCAGTGTAAAGACACTTTCTGCAATGCAAGGCAACAGTGTGGTTAGTTTTCCATACATACTTTACAACAGTCCCTGGGTAGGAAGTAATTTTGTGTATTTCCCAAGTCCCCAAAGAGCTCTCTTCTAACGACTGTTTTGCAACTGATTAAAATTAACCTCTTTCCATTTTTACAAAACACTACTTTAAAAAAGGAATAGAGTGATATAGCAAAATCCTTAAAGGAGGATTTATAAAAAGATAAAAGCCTTATGAGCTAAAAATGTGCCTCTCCTTAGTTTTATATCAACTGCAAGGTGACAGTGGCAGGATACGACTGCTCTTGAAATAGCTTCCTCATGCTTTGAAATATAGGGTGGAATGCCTGTTATACTCTAAAATGTTGACAAACCTGAGTAAGTAGACTAAACACTAATTTCTACCTTCTGTGACTGCAGTGAAGTCAACTGGTATTTAATGCTTCAAAGTAATTTTGGGGAAATTGATGGGAGACATACTAGACTGCTCCTATCTCTTGGCTTTGAGTGTGAAAGTAACTGTTGACCCCTCAGTGAGGGCAGAATGAAAAGCTATTGTTGGTTTGGTTTTAACTAACGTGTTTGTGTTCCATTCTATCACAAAGACTTCCTATGCAGGGCTAGCTCCGTGTATGGAAATATTGCAGTTTCTTTTTTACGTGAAGTAATTTAGCTTTAACAGTAATGTAAAAAAGGAATAACAAGCATATTTCTCGGCTCTTACTCTTTAGGCTCCAAATGCAGATTACATTAAAAATATGTTTTGGAGAACACCTGTCTGAGTCTATGTATCTGTTTCCTTTAGGGTTACTGCAATACTGGTTGGTATAAATAGTTCAATATGAATGCTGCAGCTTTAGACTTCGATCTTCATGTCATTAAGAATTGTACCTTAAACAAAATGTCATGTTTCATTCTCTTTCTTTCTGTGAAGTGGTGGTCCAGCCAAGCCTTTAAATTCTGGTAGTAGGTAATAGTAAAGAAAGGGCTTAAACTGCATGATACAGGAGGCATTATTTTCCCAGTTTCTAGAAAATGCAGTTAGTTGTGCTATTAACTCTGTGAAAACATAGTAGTTTTAGTTTATCGCATAAAAGAGTTAGCAAGACCTCGTAAGAAGTAAGCAACAGACACTTTTTCAAGAAAGTTGCACAAATTAGTTTTCTGCTTAAAGCTTTTGAAGTCTCGTCTCTATTGCATGGATGTCCTGGTTTCGGCAGGGATAGAGTTAATTGACAATGGACAATTTTAAAAAATAGAGGAACAGAATGCTGGAAGGGTGAGAGAAGTATGAGAAGATCCTTATTAAAGGCAGCTATAGAACGGAAGACTTCGAAGAACATTGCCATTGTAATTTCAAACGATCTTTATAGTTAGGCACAATAGTCACAATCCTATACTTCAAGGCAGCATACACTTCAGAGAGCTGAAATTTTACATTTAGGCCTAATCAGTAACAAACAGCATCAAAAAAGATGAGGTTCTGGATGAGGAAGACTGATCCAGAGCTTTCACAGTAAGATAATTGTCACACAGATGGCTTTAATGAATTGAATATAGATTCTCTTATTTGGGAAAGGGAAGAACCGGAAAGGATCATTTACATCGTTATTCATCTCTCTGCAGTTGCAGATGATGAAAGATGTTTTTGTCTAGACGTGTCTGCTGGTTACCTAAGCTGTATACCCGTGCAAAAATGCTTCTTGGCAGTAGCAAATGCTGTCTGTCACTTGAAGACCAAAACTCACTGTACAAAGTAGCACAGGAAGAGGGCAAAAGAGGTCAGGTGTATGGTATGTTACCCTGGCAAAGGCAATACATTTGTTTGTTTCCCACATAATATCCAGAGGGCCATATACCATCCACAGTGAAAAGCAGAAAGCCCTTCCCCCTCCCACCAAATCAAAGCCTTACCTTGCAGTTGATCTCCAACATTCAGAAAAATTGAGGAGAGAGCTTCGATACTCAGAAGTTATGGACAACAATGTTCAATTATGCACAAAGGAGGAAAAAGAATTGCTTTCTGGTCCCTACAAGTGCCCGTCACAAGCCAGTGAGTGTGAGGCTATGATGTAAATGGCAACCGCGTCTCCCATCAGATCGTAAGACATACGGGTTCCTATCTGAAGTTCAAAGGGTTGCTTCCATCATATCTCCTGAAGATTTATCAAGTCCTAAGTTCCTTGCCAAATTTCTGTTTAGAAGGCTATTTGGAACTCCAGTCCTTCAGTAATTAGGAACTTAATTCCATTTGATTTTTTTTTTTCACAGTTTTGTATGTTTAATCTTTTCATAGTTTCAGCACTTCTCGGTCCTTCAGACAGAGTTATCCTCTTTCAACCTTCATGTGGTTACGCTAAACCAACCAAACAAAAAAACCCCAAGCTGTAAGGATGAACAAAGAACAGAGAATAATCCAGAGTCAAGTAAGCTGACCGAATGGTTCAGTTCTCTCTTTTCCCCTCCCTTGCTTCTCTGTTACACACACACACACACAAAAAAAAAAAAAGGAATTTCTGATTCATTAAACTTTTTGCTAGTTAACCTGCAATTTAACTTGCCAATTCTTTCATTGTTACAATGGGAAGGTTTTTTTACAGTAAACAGTCAATTGTTTTCTCTTCAGATACTTTAGCTTGTATTGTCCTATTCTAATATTTGTTAGATGCCATTTTGTTCTAGTCACACACAGCATTATCTAAACCGGAAAGTGAGGCAAAATGTTCAGTGGATGAGCCAGACTTGGATTATTTATTTCCATCCCATAGTTTCAGAGTAGTAAACTTGCTTTTTCTCCTTTTCTTTCTTTTCGCATGTTTGGCTACCAGGCTCACACTATACTTTTATTTGCTAGCCTTTAAGACAGAGTCCTCCTAAGCTGTCTGTGCTCTTTCTCTGTTCTTCTGGCTTTGCTGGTTGAGGGAAGTGCGTCACCTTCTTTATCATGCTTTTTTCCCCCTCACGCATAAAGTGGGAACTCCGGGGAGTTGAAAAAACAAAACAAAACAAAAAACCAAACCCACAACAAACAGGGCCTACTGTAAAATAAGAAAATATGCTCTGTGAGGGAGATGCCTGGTGAGTTGCTAAATGAGTGCGTATGGCTTACTTTCAGTCCCACCTTGTGTTAACCTTAGAGCCAAGCAGCAGATAGTCCTGTAACAAGGCTGGCTGTGCAGCGCGCTCCCAGCCCAGTGTTCCAGTTCAGATCAGGAGTGTGCTTTGGACGTGAGCCTCCCAGTTGTCCTCACTTTGTGTGTTTGGGTTCATATCACAGAGGTGTCTCAGACCCCGACCTGGATTCCTTTTGAATGAAACTGAGCTGAAAGATGCGCTCCAAAAGCTCACCTAACAGGCTCTGACCACTAATGGGCGTTCAGTTCATGGGAGCAGACTGTAAGTTGTTCTCAAATAACCCCTTTTTCCTCTCCTGTTCCCTCCACCCCCCCCAAAGTGTCACAGACTTTTGATCCTTGGCACCAACTCCTCCATGCTACAGATCTTCTCCTTGCTACTACAGGTGTAGCCATAGTTTTCTGTTTCTCTTCTATGTTAAACATAAGTTGACACATACCCTGGTGGTTCTTTTTTTCTCTTGCTTGTAAGTGGTTACTGCCCATCCAACGTAACATCCCATAATCCATGTTAGGCTTTGAGCTGGAAAATTAAAATGAGATAATGTAGTTGATTACTAAGGTGGACCTACCACATCATTAGCTGTTAGAAAATGAATCAGCCGTGCTGTATGTGTCGCTGATACTTCCTCCTAACAGCATGACTGACCTTAGTACGAAATGCTGTCAATGTGGTGTAAAGAAATATTTGCTCCATTATACAAATGAAGAAACTAAGGCACAGACTCAGTGACCTCTTAAGACGACCATAGGAAGTTTGTGCTGTAGCAAGGAAGAGTGTTCAGGTCATCTGGCTCCAGGGACTTCAATTTTCAGACTCTTTGCTCCAGGTATGATTTGACATTTGTAATGTCATGTATGAAGAGTCTGCTTTTAAAAAAAAAAAAAGTACTAACACGAATTTCTTAGGGAAATTAGGCTGATGTCATTGCACAGTCTTACTGTATGTGTCTATTCCTCCTCTCCCTCGGTAATTTTCGAACACGTCGGGCTGTGTTTCTAAATTCAACAGAAACAGAGCAGCCTTGAAGATACGCGCATCTGTAGCTTCCTTGAGAACAGCAGACCAGGCAGAAGGCAGAGTGCCTATTAGCAGCTCCCACTGAAGAAAAGGATTCAGCATGAGCTCGACCCTTACTAGGCATGAGAGAATCCACACAGGGATTAAAATACTTCGAACCATGGAAAAGGCTTTGATCACAGCCCAGGCTTTACTAGAGAGCAGCAGATCCAGTCACTGGTTCAGGACATATCATACATTCATTACATCGTTTATCATACAGTTCCTGCACCTGCTCATCAAGGTGGTAGCATCTGACCCACAGATTATCCTGGTTTGTACAGTCTAATCTCTCTCATTAGTTACTCTGTGTCCTGAGTTGTCGTAGTTAGCTGTAATGGCACAGAATGTAAATGACAATTGATTAAGCTGCACGAAATGAGAAACTCTAGGACCACCTATGGCTGTATACTGACTATTGCACTAAATTAAATCCATTTAGCATACATGCCAAAATTGTTTACAGTTAATTTTGCTGAGAAGTTATGATGGCCGGCTAAGAGGGTTGGGGGAAACAGTGACTCCTGTTTCAGCTATAAGGATTCTGACCTTGTTTGCATCCCGGTTTCTGTCAACCTGTGTGAGTTAGGCACAAGACCAGACTCCGTAATCACCCCCTTGCAAAATCCTGCATTTCAGTTCTCCAAGATGGTAACTGTTGTATTAAAAAGCTTAAAGTGACGTGAAATGAATTCTGGAAAAGGAAATGCGCATCTGGTGGAAAATAGTTCTGTGGGAAAAGGGATCTGGCACTTCTGAAAATCTGCCTGGTGAGGTCTGCTTTCTCTCAAGTCTCCAGCAAGAATTTTCCTGAGATCCCCACCTCTGTCCATGACTGGGGTTAATTTTCCAGCTCTCTCAGGTTCTCTCTGTGCACCAGCATTTCTCCTGCTGCGATGCCTTGCCCTCATGCCCCACTGAACATGGCCGTGCACACTGCCTGGCCCCAGCTGCCCTTGCCCTGCAGTGCTGCGGGGAGCCCCCTGCCAAACCAGTCAGCCCCTCTCTGACAGTGATGCCTGGGGAAGTCTGGTGCAGTGGATGAGCAATGGTAGCTATTCAAAAATAAAAAAAACCCTAAAAGCTCAAATTTCCCTCCATCCTTTGTGACCCTTTTCTAGCCATGCCATTGTTGCTTCTCATTGTGTTCTCCCTCTCCTCTCTTTACTCTTCCCAGTTGCTCCCAGGAGTTTCCTATTTTTTCCCTGCTGCCATCGCGGCTGACTCAAGCCTGTGTTGAAACGGGAAGCGCTTGGGGAGATTTGGCCCTTGCCATGCCTCAAGCAGCTCGTGCTCTTTCTAACCTCTGTCAGTTGGGAAGTGGGAGGGCTGGAAGAAATGCAGGATTCAGCTTGCTGTCCTTTCTTCATCTGCCTGGTTCTTAAGCAAGGTAAGGGTGCTTAGTCTCCTCGTTAATGTGAAATGTGGGCTCTGTTAATCGCTCTGCACAAGGTATTTTGTCTCACATGAGGTTGCGGATGCACTCCGTGTAGGTGCTGCTGGTGTAAGCTGTCAACAATTCCATAAGAAAATCTCATCCTGGAATCAGTAATACTGGACTTCCTCCCATGCGGAAGGT